AGGGGGATACGGAAACTTTGGGATCGGGTGGGAATTGGGGGCTGGGGAGGGGTCTCAAAGCCCCTTCCGTGAAGGACTCGCCGGGATGGCCGGGCTGGGGATCGGGATCGGGATCGGGATTGGGATTGGGAATGCAGATGGATCCTGCTTCCCTTCCAAAGCCCATCCCAGCAGCCCCCAGCCCCGTTCCCAATAGTGTTAACTCCATTTTTAAGGCGTAGCATGTCTGTAGGTCTTTTGATTTGGAATTTTTTTCATTTCATTTTCCTTTTATTTTCCTTTTTTTTTTTTTTATTTTGTTTGTTTCTTTTATAATTATTCTTTTCCTATTTCCCGGTGTTATCCTTTGGGAAGGGAGGGAGGGATTTTTTTTGGAGGGGGGGGGAGGGAATTCCATCTCTTAATCAAGGAGGGAAATGAGATTTGGTGATGACATTCCCAGATCTTTTCCAGATTTTGGGGGGCTTTTTTTGGTTTGGTTGATTTTTTTTTTTTTAAAAATAACCTGAATTCGGGGAATTTTTCTAAAAAACAAAAAAAAAGCCTGAATTCAGGATAAAAACTCCAATGGATTTAAAAAAAAAAAAAAAGGGAGAAAAAGGAGAAAATCCCAGAGCCACTGAAACTGTGAATGTCCGGAATCTCCGCAGCTGATCCTCGAGCGATTTTTAGGGGGAATTTTTGGGGGGAAAAAGGGGAGGGAATTTTTGGGGGGTGGGAGGGAAAGGGGGAGGAACTTTGTGGAAACTCAACTTTGTGATTCTGTACGGTCCTGCAGCAGAACACCTGCACGGGGAGGGGCGGGGGATGGGTTTTAACCCTTTCATTGCCTTTTCCACCCTTTTTTTTTCCGTTCGAAGGTGCTATTTCTCCAAATTTTTTGGGGAGGGGGAGGGGAAAAAAATTCCCAAAAAATTCCCCCCCAAAAAAAAAATAATTCCTGAATTTCTGACCGTTCCTTTTCCCACCCTCGGATTTTTCCTGGCCAGCCAGCAGGGAGGGAATGTGGGAGGGAAAAGAAGCCACAGCAGCACAAGGAGAAATCCAATCAATCCCAACTCCTCCCCAAAGCGAGGTCGGGATTCGCTTTCCCAAAACCTTCGGGAAGGGGGGGTGTTTTGATTTTTGAAATCAGATTTATTTCCCAAATCCTGAACTATTTAAGTGACTCCAGGGGGTGGGATCTCGACGTGCATTGTACAAACCTTTTTTTATGAGCATGTGTTTGGGTTCCTGTGCTAAAAATCCGTGTGCAAATGTAAAAATTCGTGTTTGGATTTTAACTTCACACACCGAGCTCTGTCCAGTTTTTATTTTGGGGTTTGATTTTTGGGGGGGGGGGGGGTTTTTTCCTGGTTTTGAAATTATTTTTTTTTTTCTTTTGAATTTTTTTTTTTTTTGGTCTCAATAAAATTTTAGATTTATAATCCTGATTTTTTAAAAAAAATTTTTTTTTTTAATCCTTTTTTTTAATCTTTCCCTTCCTCCCTTTTCCTCCAGTGCTGATCCACCAGGTAGAGCAGGACATGGAGGGAAGGTGAGCCCTGAGCTGGGCGAGAGCTATGGAGAAAGGTCTGGAGAAGGTTCCGGAACAGGGTCTGGAGAAGGTTCCGGAGCAGGTTCTCGAGCAGGTTCCAGAGGTTCAGGAGCGTGTTCCGGATCTGGTTCTAGAGCGGGTTCCAGAGGTTCAGGAGCGGTTCCAGAGCGGGTTCCGGATCGGGTTCCAGAGCGGGTTCTAGATCGGGTTCCGGATCGGTTCTAGAGCGGGTTCCGGATCGGGTTCTAGAGCAGGTTCCAGAGGTTCCGGAGCGGTTCTAGAGCGGGTTCTAGATCCGGTTCCGGATCGGGTTCTAGCGCGGGTTTACGGAGTGGTTCTAGAGCAGGTTCTAGATCCGGTTCCGGATCGGGTTCTAGAGCGGGTTCTAGATCCGGTTCCGGAGCTGTTCTAGAGCAGGTTCCAGAGCAGGTTCCGGATCGAGTTCTCAAGCAGGGTCCGGAGAAGGGTCTGGAGAAGGTTCTGGAGCGGGTTCTTAAGAAGGTTCTTGCTTTGAAGAAGGTTCTGGGGAAGGTTCCGACTCTGGAGAAGGTTCCGACTTTGGAGAAGGTTCTGACTCTGGAGAAGGTTCTGACTCTGGAGAAGGTTCTTGCTTTGGAGAAGGTTCTGGAGAAGGTTCCGACTCTGGAGAAGGTTCTGACTTTGGAGAAGGTTCTGGAGAAGGTTCTGACTCTGGAGAAGGTTCTGACTTTGGAGAAGGTTCTGACTCTGGAGAAGGTTCTGACTCTGGAGAAGGTTCTGGAGAAGGTTCTGACTCTGGAGAAGGTTCTTGCTTCAGAACAGGTTCTGGAGAAGGTTCCTGCTCTGGAGAAGGTTCTGGAGGATGTTCCAGAGCAGGGTCTGGAGTGGGTTCTGGAGATGGTTCTTGCTTTGGAGCAGGACCTGGAGCAGGTTCTGGCTCTGGAGAAGGTTCCGGAGCAGGCTCTGGGTTTCTTTTGGCCTCCAGCCGAGCCGAGAGCCTGAGGCACCGCGGCTCCGTCAGTGAGCGGGGCCACCTCGGCCTGGAGGAGCAGCAGGAGGAGGAGGAGGAGGAAGGCTCCTGGTGGAGGAGAGTGGTTCCTGGATGAGGATGGTGGCTCCTGGAGGAGGAAGAGGAGGATGAAAGTTCCTGGAGGAAGATGATGGCTCCAGGAGGAAGAGGATGGAGGACTGAGCTTCCTCAGAGTCCACAGGCCTCAGGCTCAGGTGGATTTGGGCACAGGGAAGGAGCAGAGAGAGATCCCGGGAGGAGCAGCAGATCCCTGCAGTGGATCCTGGGAAGAGCAGTGGATCTCCGCGGTGGATCCCGGGAGGAGCAGCAGATCCCTGCAGTGGATCCTGGGAAGAGCAGTGGATCTCCGTGGTGGATCCCGGGAGGAGCAGCAGATCCCTGCAGTGGATCGCGGGAGGAACAGAGATCCCAGGAGGAGCAGTGGATCCCTGCAGTGGATTGCGGGAGGAACAGAGATCCCAGTAGGAGCAGTGGATCCCTGCAGTGGATCCCGGGAAGAGCAGCGGATCCCTGCAGTGGATCCTGGGAAGAGCAGTGGATCTCTGCGGTGGATCCCGGGAGGAGCAGCAGATCCCTGCAGTGGATCCCAGGAGGAGCAGAGGATCCCTGCAGTGGGTCCTAGGAGGAGCAGCGGGTCCCTGCAGTGGATCGCGGGAGGAGCAGAGATCCCAGGAGGAGCAGAGGATCCCTGCAGTGGATCCTGGTAAGAGCAGTGGATCCCAGGAGGAGCAGTGGATCCCTGCAGTGGATCCCAGGAAGAGCAGCAGATCCCTGCAGTGGATCCCTGCAGTGGATCCCAGGAGGAGCAGAGGATCCCTGCAGTGGGTCCTAGGAGGAGCAGCGGGTCCCTGCAGTGGATCGCGGGAGGAGCAGAGATCCCAGGAGGAGCAGAGGATCCCTGCAGTGGATCCTGGTAAGAGCAGTGGATCCCTGCAGTGGATCCCTTCCCCATGAGCTCCCTGCACGGTCCCAGGGAATCCTTGGGGGGTTTTCTGCCAGCTGGGATCCCATCCCAAGCCAGGCCCTAAGGAATGTCTGGAGTCATCACCCGGGAGGAGAGCAGGAAGCACCTTGGATCCTGTGTGGATCCAGTGTGGATCCCGTGTGGGTTTATTGTGGATCCAGTGCAGATCCCATGTGGATTTATTGTGGATCCAGTGCAGATCCAGTGTGGATTCATTGTGGATCCAGTGTGGATTCATTGTGGATCCAGTGTGGATTCATTGTGGATCCAGTGTGGATCCAGTGTGGATCCAGTGTGGGTTTATTGTGGATCCAGTGTGGATTTATTGTGGATCCAGTGCGGATCCGGTGTGGATTCATTGTGGATCCAGTGTGGATTCATTGTGGATCCAGTGTGGATCCAGTGTGGATCCAGTGTGGATCCAGTGTGGATCCAGTGTGGATCCAGTGTGGATCCAGTGTGGATCCAGTGTGGATCCAGTGTGGATCCAGTGTGGATCCAGTGTGGATCCAGTGTGGATCCAGTGTGGATCCAGTGTGGATCCAGTGTGGATCCAGTGTGGATCCAGTGTGGGTTTAGTGTGGATCCAGTGTGGATTTATTGTGGATCCAGTGCAGATCCAGTGTGGATTCATTGCAGACCCTGTGTGGATCTGTTGTGGATCCAGTGTGGATTTATTGCGGATCCGGTGTGGATTTATTGTGGATTTGTGGCGGATCCGGTGTGGATTTATTGTGGATCCAGTGTGGATCCAATGCGGATCCGGTGTGGATTTATTGTGGATTTGTGGCGGATCCTGTGTGGATTTATTGCAGACCCAGTGTGGATCTAATGTGGATCCTGTGTGGATTCATGGTGGATCCCGTGTGGATTTATGGTGGATCCGATGCGGATTCATTCCGGATCCAACTCCCCACATCCCCTTGGCTGAGCTCGGATCCGGATCCGGGAATGAGAAGGGATTTGTGCCCCGGGAGCGCCGGGGCCGGGCTGGGATTCGGGTTGGATTTTCCGGATGGGGGAGGCGGGGCTGGAATCCCTGGAGAAAGGACAAAACCATGGAAATAACCAGGACGGGATCCACGAGATCCCATCCCGGCCTCCCCTGCGATTCCAGGAGTTTGCCATTCCCGATCATCCAGGGACCCCCGGACGAGCTCGGAGCTCCTTTCCAGGGAAAATCCAGGCGGGATTCGGGCGCTGGAAACGCTCCAAGGATCTGGTGACGGATTTATCCCCCGGGGATGGGGCAGGATTTGGGATGTTCCCGAGCTCCGGAGGAAGCGTTGGCCGCTCCCAGCAGGAAAACCGGACCTTGGGAGTCAGAATTCCAAAGAGAAGGATCTGGGAGCGCCGCGGGGGGCTCGGCCCTGGGACCCCTCAGCCGGGAATTCCCTCAGGAATTCGCTTTTCCTTGGATTTGAGAAGGAAAAAAGGAAAAAGCCAGAGCTGGTTGTTCCCATGGAAGAGTTTTTGCTTCTCCTCCTTTTCCTTCTCCTTTTTTCTTTTCCTTTCTTCTTTTCTTCCTTTCCTTCTCTTTTTCCTTCTCCTTTTCTTCTTTTCATTTTCCTTTTCCTTCTTTTTCTTCTCCTTTTCTCCATTTAATTCTCCTTTTCCTTCTTCTTTTCCCCTTTTCCTTCTCCTTTTCTCCTCCTCCTCCATCCCCTGCAGCGTTGGAACAACTCCCACCCATCCAAGCCGGACCTGGAGCCTCCAAAAACCCCTCAATTCCCACAATTTCACCCCCAAACCCCCTGGAATCCCGAATAAAAGCGCCGGGAGCCAAGGCTGGTACAGTGAATAAGCCGTTTTTTATTTTCTGTCCTGTGCTCACAACAATCTCTCTTCTCTCCCTGACAGGTCACAGATCATTCCAAAAAAAAAAACAAACCAAAACAAAAAAAGTTTCTAGGAGGAAACAAACAAAAAGAAAATAATTTAAAACACACGCACAGGGCTCTCTCTCCATTCCAACCTCCCCAAATCCCAACTTGTGCTTCATTCCCGGGAAGCTGGAGGGGGGGGGGGGGGGGCCCC